AAACAGACACTACTAACTTTTGTAGTCTGAAAAAACAGACACTACAAACCATTGTAATCTCAAAAAGTGGACACTACTAATTTTTGTAGTCTTTGTCTGACCTTTGTGGTCTATGTCTGACTTTTGTAGTCTTTTTTGTAGTCTATAAGTAAACTTTGTAGGCTATAACTGACTTTTGTAGTATATGAGCAATCTTTTGTAGTCTGTCGGTGTCAATTACCCTTTTAGGGCATGTACCTTCCTTTTTGGGAGAAATTTCCCACGATACAATAGTTGTAGCCCCTTCTCTTAGCTTTCTAAATCTGTTGAAATCATGTTGTTTAGTGTTCTTTTCATGTAGAAAAATGCAAAAAACAAAAAAAAACACGGCACTTTTGAAAACATTTTACCTCATATCTCCACAATGGAAGCACTTTAGAACATAATTCCAACTGATTCAGAAAGCTATGGTGAAGAGCTACAACTTTTGTTTTTTTTCCCATTTTTGGAAATTGGTCATGTGACCACCCCCCAATGCGGACCATAATAGCTATTTTATTGCTATCATGGAATATAATGAAAAATCATAATGATAGCCCTGGGGGTAGATATGAAATTGGAATGAAATATTGAGAGATACTCAATGAAAAATCCCAATGAAAGCTGTGGAATATTCAATGAAAATGCACAAGAAGCAATGGATACATATAACCTAGCCAATAAAATATTTATTGAAATGCACAATGAAAGCGCACAGCATTAATTAATGAAAGGGGAATGAAAATCGTTGAAATTCCTAATGAAAGAGGCAATGAATACACCTGACCTAGGGAATGAAATATTTATTGAAATCACACAACATTAATTATGAAAAGTACAATGAAAGCATCCAATATTCCTAATGAAATATTCAATGAAAGCGCACACCATTAATTAATGAAAGGGGAATGAAAATAGTTGAAATTCCTAATGAAAGAGGCAATGAATACACCTGACCTAGGGAATGAAATATTTATTGAAAGCATCCAATATTCCTAATGAAATATTCAATGAAAGCGCACACCATTAAATATGATAGAGGCAATGAATACACCTGACATAGTCAATGAAATATTTATTGAAA